TCTCTCTCTGCGTGTGTGTGCGTGTGTGTGTGTGTGTGTGACATGTCTTCGACGAGGAATAGTTCTTAAATAATTAGCAACAAGGTGTTCTCTTCCGTTCTTTCGAATCATTGCTCGTCATCATTTCGGTCGCAATTCGTGTCGTTGGATGATCGAAAGCGCACCGGAGACCGAGAACGTCTCGCGAGCTTCGCGCATCGCTAAACAAGAATTCGACGCATCTTTTGGCACACGCTATTTCGCGCGAACAAGCGCGCTTGCCTCGCTGAATGTGACACGATGAACCTCGACCTCTTTCCTTTCTATCTTCCATTCCTTCTTTCACTCGTTCGTCTCTTCCTATCCGCTCGCAGACCAATTTTAGGTCGATCACCGATATCTAGCGTTTGGTACGCGGCTCCTCCGCGCCGAATCGTCTCCGCTTTGCGCCACTTTGCGCACGATCGTCTCTTCCTCTCGCCAGTCTTCCCTACGGGTGCATGAACAATCGCCATACAGCGAGCTACATACGAGAACGTGTACTAGACCGTTACGATTAATGTAAATATATTGTCGGATATATCAGAAACCAGTGTTCTTCCTCTTCCGTAACATGTTTGTGGCTAGCGGCCGGATTCTGCACGATCGCGCGGGATTAAATGCAGTTGGTAAAACAGCTTTGATCTTCTCGGCCCACTCGAACGTATCAGCTTGTTTTTTCTTTCTTTCTCTTTTTTCTCTTGTTCTTGAGCAACGATATATGTACGACAGCATGGAGATGTATTTTTGATGGAAAATGTATCTGTTTACGAGCGTGTTCGACGGTCCAACCGCGGGCGGCGTGGAAATCGCGTTCCACGCGATCATCGTGTTGCTTCGAGTTTGTGCAACATCCGAGCAACGCTAAACGATACTTCTTCTGGGTTCAATCGTGTTTCGTATTTGAACGTACGTTATATCTCATCGACTATGTCTTTAAGAATTAGATTTCTCGCAACAGACGCGTGTATTGTATGAAATAACGCTTCTGGTGCAAAAGATAAACTCTCGTTCGTTTAGATCTCGTGGCGGGATCTTTGATACGCAGAATGGAAGAAAAAGAAAAAGACATTATTTTTGTATACTATTGAAAATTTTCATACGATAAACTAGAGAAGATATGGATTAAAATACAGCATAGACCAAAAGCTCGTTCGCGGTTCTGTAAGGGAAATTCGGAAAATCGCCCGCGGTTGCAGAGTCGATAAACTTAATTCACCTGCACGTAGTAACCAATGTAGTTAAATTAGAAGAATCAGTAGACGACGTACATGCTCGCACAAAGCGGGACCCGACAAAAATAATGAAATTATATTAGTCGATTTTGGATTTTAAATATTACGCGCTCCTCTGCAGTTGCAAGCATTCTCAAATTATAATTCTTCCATTTTATATTTAGCGAAATTTCGGTCTTCGAAATTGCCTTCCTCGCTTACGAACCTCGTCATTCGACGAAATGGTCGCGACCAGTCGTCAGAGTGGAATAGCTTGTTTTGCAAAATTCAAGATACAAAGTGACGGCTTAATCTCCATGCGAACCACAAACATTTTACACTTCGTGTCTGAAGATTATGTTCTCAGGCCAACAGTTCCGCCGATCGTTTTCTCGTTTCACCTTTCGTCTAGCTACGTATTTACAGGACTAGAGTCTTATTTAAAATCTGCTGGTGTCTGCTCGGTCGCGGTTCCAATTGCCCTTTGGCGATTAAAAGCCGAATATCGAGTCGAACGATGGTTCCGACCGCAAGTTCCGGCCAATCGAGAGAACGTGCTGTTGGTCTGGCGAAGCTAAAACTTAGGCGATCGGTCGAGCTAATTTCTTAGCAGCTTCCAGCTGATCGCGGCCACCGAGCAGACAGGCGAATCGTGAGCGACTCGTATGCGTTATCTTAAGTCTAGAATCTTAAAGACTATACGTGTAATTAGAGCCCACGATAATTTCCTACTCGAAGTAGTCGTCCAACCATGTGTCCTCGATTTAATTTTTCATCAAAGCACTAATCCACGAAGCACCATCGAAGGAATTTTTCAACGAATCCTAGAAGTCTCTTTTTCTCGATTAATTTCACCTAAGCGTTATTTGTGTGCATGTGTGGTGTATTATCGTGGGCAAAGATAGCGCTAGATCTTATCAAGATGGTGAAATTCGTTAATTTATCTAAAATGTGACAAACAAAAGAGTTTGAAACGTTCTTCCTCCATCGTTCGACTATCTTTATAGACCTTTGCTGATGTTCATTCTTCTTTTCCTCTCCTTTGTTTTTCTTCATCAGAGAAAACTGCCTTTTAATCTAATTTCTGAGCACGTTTCGTTCGCGTCGTGCTTTTTCGCAGACGCTTGTTCGACGATGACGCGCGAGTCATATCGGCGCAACGACTCGATTATTATTCTTACACACGTAAGAACGTTTATTGTACCGATGATGAAACAAACGGGGAACAATATTCTTTTATCGTCGCGGAACGTTCAACTATTCTAAGTAAATCACGAATGCACCGTGTAAAATCGATTTCTCATCTTCGACGCAACTTGCTGCAGCAACAGTGGAATGACATTTATAAGTTTACATACAGTCGAATAGCAGTCGATGTTTCTTTGCGAATGTATAAGCATGGGTTTCCTTCGATTTCTCGAAATCTCTTTTTTTTTTCCTAATCTCGCGCAACTTTCCCGCCGCTCTTTTTCGAAAGCACATGGCCAGTCTAGTGGTCGCAACGAAGAACGGATCAATTCGTTGCGAATGATTCCTCGGGGTCCATTGATTGTCGTATCTAAAGTTCTGATGGGGAAACGTTGAGTACATTCGACAGTATCACGTCCATCGTACTTCGAATTCTTTAACACTAGAACAACCCACGATCAAATATGAGACCTGTACCAAAGGAGCGAAAGTAACAGATATAGAAAATTGTACATAATTGGAGGCAAAAGGCCACTTTGTCCACACATTTTACAAAGAATCACTGGAAATTCCAAAACTACTGCTTCGCCAATATACAGAATTATTTCTAAAGGATCGTAAATTGGTCATTTTCTTCTCTGGGAATTCTAGTGTTAAAATCGTTCGACTCGAACAGAAGAGTAATTCGTTTCGACATTGTATCTGGCTTCTCGACAATTTTGCGATCTTTCTGCGAACATATCCCAGTTTCCCGTATTCTTGTCTCGGCGTGCAATCGAACACGAAAACAAGCTGATTCAGATATTCGTCCGGTAGATTGTCAGTGAGCATGAACATTTAAACCGCTCGATTCTTCGTCTTCGTAGCGACGCGGAAATTTACCAACGATCCATTAATACTGGCTTTAGAAACTTAAACTACACGGTTGAATTCTTATTCGCCATCGTCTTCAAGAAGCGTCACAAGCGATTACAAATGAAAGGTTTCGCACTGATCGGATCAGCCGATTATCCGAATCATCGCCGTGAAATTCAACGAGGAAAGCGAGGGATATCCGAAGCGATTCTACGTACAGCGTTACGCAAACATCGTGGAATTGTTCGTTAAAAATTACAAACAGAACGAAGGCAAGGTTTATGCGTTGTACGCTTAAGTCCAAAGCCAAAAGCCACGTCTCCGCCGAAGCAACACAACGAGGAACCTCCTGTTGTTGCCTGTTGTTGCTGCGTGTTCCAACGAACGTCAACTGGTAGAATCACGTTGTCCACACGTTTTGCTACGCGTTTCTTATTTTCCTCTGATCTTTGGAAATGGGCAACAAGCAGCAACTTTCGTTACTGACAGAGACATTGGACAACGAGCGCCACATCTTCCACAAACATAGATCGACAGGTCCTCGTCGTTGCTTCAGCGAAGACGCAGCCGAAGGGTCAACGCGTCGATGTTTTGCATTTCGTCTCGGCTAACGACAGGCGATCGATTTCAACGAAATCCTATCCATTCGCGATCTCAATTCCTGTTCTTGAAGACCGCCGTTTCGAAGCTTCCGCAGACTTTCGCGCAGAGAATGGCCGACTCGGTCTCTCGCTTGGCTCGAAACGAGAGTCTTGCGAGAGAGGAATCTTTCGAAATATCGCGCGAGTTCCTTCCGATCGATAGGGCCAGCTTAACCCTTTCACAATGTAAACGTCGACAAGCTGGCAGATACAGTTTTCGGCATACGAGATACAGTTTCGTATCTTAACTCTGTGTACTTTGACGATATCGAAGACAGAAATGTGAAAATTGCTTTTCGTATCGTTTGCGTCGATACAGTACGCTTTGTAAATAAATTTACAAATCTTAGGTACAATTTTTTCTTGGTAAAATCTTGAGTTCCAAAAAGTTTCGCTGTAAAAGCGTAACAATGAAAAATCCTCGGGACGCGTTAACATCGGTCAGAAGCCGAACACGCGCTTTGCTTAACGTTAATTATCTAATGAAAAAGCTGTCTAGGTTTGAAATTTGGGACTCTTCGTTGTGTTCTTACACTGCGAAAGAATTAAACTTGGACGATCGATGAACGCAGATTACTCTAAATACAGGGAATCTGACTTTTGCGTGTCGCGCTGTCGAGTAGTCGGAATTTCTTGTTTGTCCCATTTATTCGTCTACCTTCCACGTTCGAAGAGCCAGCGACGTAACTCGAAAAAAATTACTTTTCCAAGCGAACAAGAGACAAAGAGGTCCGCGTTAGTATCTCGTATGACATGATCGTGTTTCTTAAATTTATACGGTGTCCAATCACGCGAGGTTTAACAAATTACGTCTCACCAAGAGACACGACGCTACAAAGCGTTCCAGCTACAGAGATGTTGGCAACGACGTAGCACGCCTTGCGCCTCGACAAATTGTTAATCGTCTCGCTTTTTCAAAGAAGGTAGACGCATCTTGTGGGTCAGATTTTGATAAGAATCTTCGCAATTCGATACGCTTCTCCTTCGCGTAAAGACCACAGATGAGAAACATGATAAGTCTGTTATAGAAGAGAAATTTTTTAATTCAATACGTTGTCGATCAATTTCATATTTGATTCTAGAATGAAATACGACTTTTTCTTATCTTCCCGAGCATTTAAAAAATAACCTCGGTTACGCAGATTGATATCAAGCAAGTTCAACTAGTATTCTCTAAGATTTGTGTTCTATCTTCGAAAGACTTGCGTCTTCGAATCTCATAGGCTGTCTCTTTTTCAATTGTTTCGTATGGTCAAGCGACGCAACAGGAAAGTAAGAAAGATTGAAGAGCGCTTGTAGAAAACACTGCGAGTGGCAAGAAACAAGTTTTTCAAAGAGGAAAAGAAACTTTATGCACTAATTTCATCGAAATTTTACCTGCTCCTCCTCTCAGTTGTAAAGCAAACTCAATTTCATCGATTGAATAACTGACATACACCAAGAAACAATGAATCAATTTGCTCTTAAACTGCACACTGTAGTGTTTTCATTAGTACGGGCAACGTATTCCACTAAAAAGTCAAGACTCTCGAATCTTTGCCACTTACAAGCGTCCTTCGAATCGACTCATCATGTTTCCCCTCGTGGTCTTCACGATGCGACAGAAATAGCAGCGCTGTGCTGGCTCGAACCGAAAGAAACGAAAGGGAGAAAAAAGAAAAAGAAGGAAGACGGGCCGATCTACGAGACATAAAACGAACGAACTAGTAGCAGTTTGAAAGCGACTACGGTTGGACAAATTGTCGTTGTCTCGGCTATCACGCCGGCAGCGTGAATTATCCAGCAATTTGGGCTGGCGGGGCGATGCCGATGGTCGAACGTTTGCCAATAACGTGAACGTTTGCGAATTAACTTAGCTCGTCCGGCCGTCTACTCCGTTTTAATTCACACAGCCGCGGAGTCTGATATCGCCGAACCCCTTGCTCGCGACAGAGATCTGACTGCCAAGAACGGCCGTGGTAATTGCGCGCGATCATCGTCACGGCGTGGCAGCCAGATCTGGCTGG